CCCCAGCCTTGCTGTGGACGGGGAAGGTCGGCGATGCGTCTGCGTTCCGTGTCTGGGGATCTCGGGCGTTTGTCCGCGACTTGTCTGCGGACAAGCTGTCCCCTCGTGCTGCTCCCTTTGTCTTCCTTGGCTCCCCCCCTAACGCCCCTGGGTGGCAGTTCTACCACCCCACCTCTCGTCGTGTTCTGTCCTCCCAGGACGTCACGTTCGACGAGTCAGTACCCTACTACCGCCTCTTCCCCTACCGCACTCCTTCCCTCCCCCCGCCACCGCACTTCCTTGTGCCAGGTCCCCCCCCGGTAGACCCCATCCCCCCTCAGGGTCCTGCCCCTTCAGGTGTGTCCCAGGTAGATGCAGTTGAGCCGGTCGAGGTTGCTGGTGACTCTGTTACTGCTGCGGGAGCTGAGCCTTGGGGTGCTGACTCTGAGGGTGCTGCACGCGTGGGTGCTGAGCCTGGGGGTGCTGGGTCTGGGGGTGCTGCGAGTGGGGGTGCTAAGCCTGGGGGTGCCGAGCCTGGGGGTGCTACGACTGGAAGTGCTGAGCCTGGGGGTGCTACGACTGGGGGTGCTGAGCCTGGGGGTCCTTCGCCTGGGGGTGCGGCGTCTGGAGCTGCTGTGCCTAGGGATGCTGAGTCTGGAGCTACTGCGCCTGGGGGTGTGGAGCCCGCGGTCGCTGGACCTACTCGTGTGGCGTCTGGCGGTGCTGGACCTGGTGGTTCCCCGGGTGCTTCGTCTCGGCGGGAGCCACTCTCTCCACAGGAGCTGCGCGAGTGGTTTGCCCAGCGCTGGAGGCGTACTACTGGAGCTGGTGCTTCTTCGGCTGCTGAGGGTGCTGGTGCCGCCGGTCTCGGAGGTGCTAGTTCTGCGAGTGCTACTGGAGTCAGAGCTGCTGAGAGTGTTGGCGCTGAGGCTACTGCTGTCAGTCATGGCGGCGGTCCTGCTGCGGGTGCTGCTGGTTTCGCTGGAGGTACTGGAGCCGGAGGTGCTGTTGACGCTGGTGCTGCGGCTAGGGGTGCTGGTGCTGTCCCTGTTGTGTCTGGAGTCTCCGCGCGGCCTCGGCCATACTTTGTTCCGCTCCTTCAGCAGGTTCTTGGTCTTCCTCCTCCCTTAGAGTGTCCACCGCCTGTCCATTCATAGTTACCGCCGGCCTCCCCACTGCCTTCTCCTTCTCCGTACACTGGTCCTACTGGAGGTCTTGCTGAGCGTCGCGAGCCTGCGTCTCGTCCTGCGTCGCCTGTTCGTGCTGCTTGCACTAGTGGTCGCAGTTCGCGTCAGCGTCCTCCTCCTGTCCCTGGCACGCACCGGATGTCTCTGCATCCGTCCACTGCTCCTCTGCGTGCCCCTTTGCCCTCTCCTCCTGCGTCCTCTCTTCCTGCGCTTGCTGACCCTGAGTCGGACTCTCTTCGTGCTGCCAGTCCTACTGTCATGCGTCTCCTTGCTACTGTCGTCACTGACCCCTTCTTTGAGTCCACTGTTGCGTCTGCTCTTGTTGCTGAGCTCGTCGACTTTGCTGCTCGTTGTCGTCTAGACTACGCTGCTAGTCTTGTTGTTGAGTCTACGTCTTTCTGTCCTCCGTCGGTCGGGGGTGAGTGTGCTCTTGGCACGGACGTCCTTGAGGACAGGCAGGAGGAGTTCCAGTGTCTGGCTGCTACTTCACCTCATCTCGCGTCCGTACTGCTTACCCCTGAGGGAGACCCGGATGCACTAGACATCCCGACTCCGCGCTCTTACGCGGAGGCCGTAGAGGGTCCCTACTCCTCTCACTGGCAGGCAGCTATGGATGCAGAGATGGCTTCCTGGAAGTCCACAGGCACCTACGTTGACGCGGTTCCCCCTCCTGGGGCGAACATCGTCAGTGGCATGTGGATCTTCAGGGTGAAGCGGCCACCGGGCTCTCCACCTGTCTTCAAGGCGCGGTACGTGGCTCGTGGCTTCAGTCAGCGGCAGGGAGTTGACTACTTTCAGACCTTCTCTCCCACCCCGAAGATGACCATTCTTCGGGTGCTGCTACACGTAGCCGCTCAGCGTGACTACGAGCTTCACTCCCTTGACTTCAGCACTGCTTTCCTGCAGGGTAGCCTGCACGAGGAGATCTGGTTGCGCCGTCCACCTGGCTTCACTGGGACTTTCTCTCCTGGCACCTAGTGGAGCCTCCGACGGCCAGTCTACGGTCTCCGCGAGGCACCGCGCGAGTGGCACGACACAGTGAGGACTACACTTGCGACTCTTGGGTTTGCTCCCTCTACTGCTGACCCGTCGCTGTTTCTACGCACCGACACCTCTCTGCCGCCGTTCTACATCCTCGTGTACGTCGACGACTTGGTCTTTGCCACAGCTGACACTGCTGGACTTGCCCACGTGAAGTCCGAGCTGCAGAAGAGACACACGTGCACAGACCTGGGTGAACTGCGCAGCTACCTTGGCTTGCAGATCACCCGGGACAGAGCACGCCGCACCATTACCCTGACTCAGTCACACATGGTGCAGCAGGTCCTTCAGCGCTTCGGCTTCACGTACTCCTCGCCTCAAACCACTCCTCTGCCTACTCGCCACTCGCTCTCAGCTCTGCCTTCGGATGAGTCCGTAGAGTCGAGTGGCTTGTACCCAGAGCTTGTTGGCTGCCTGATGTACCTGATGACCTGCACACGACCTGACCTTGCATACCCTCTTAGCATTCTTGCACGCTATGTTGCTCTTGGGAGACACAGACCGGAGCACATGGCTGCAGCGAAGAGGGTGTTGCGCTACTTGTGCAGTACGTCGGGCATGGGGCTAGTGCTTGGAGGGCAGAGTCCAGTGGTCCTCACTGGGCACGCGGATGCTTCTTGGGCAGACGACCAGGCTATGCAGCGGTTGTCACAGGGTTACACCTTCAGCCTTGGTTCCGGCTCTGTTTCGTGGCGGGCTACTCGCTCGTCTTCTGTTCTCGGCTCCAGTTGTGAGGCTGAGATCTACGCCGGGGCCATGGCTGCACAGGAGCTTCGCTGGCTTACCTACCTGCTGACTGACCTCGGAGAGTCGCCTCGTTCTCCTCCGGTGCTGTACGTAGACAACAAGGCCATGCTAGCCTTGTGTCGGGAGCAGCGCCTGGAGCACAGAACGAAGCACATTGCTCTCCGCTACTTTCTTGCTCGTGAGTTGCAGCAGCGTGGTCAGTTGCGACTTGCGTACGTGGCCTCTGAGGCCAACACTGCTGATGTTTTCACCAAGGCACTTGAGCCTTGTGATCATCAGCGCTTCTGCACTCAGCTGGGTCTTGTGCCTGTCTTGCCTCACTTGCTCACCCCTTGACCTTGCTTGTACTCTTACATATATATATATATATACATGCTCTTGCTTGTATAGCCTTGTATATATGTGTACTCCTGCATGTGAACTGGCCTTGTGGCCTTGACCTTGTGCTCGGACTGTGTGGTGACGTTGTGATCCACCATGAGCTTTGTCTGCTTTGCTTGACTGGTCTTGTGACTCCTTGTTCTCCCCCACTTTGCCTATGGGGGTGTGTCAAATTATAATATTGTGTAGGCTATAGTGGAGTAGTCCATATGGGGTACACATTTCTAGGGTTGCATATTTGTATCACTTCCATTCCTTAGTCATTCATTCTCGTTCTACTTTCCTCACTACTGACAGAGTCCGTACCCAACATTACATAGCAATCTTCCACTGCTACACTCCAAGCGATCAACCTGAGACGATTCTATAAGACGGTTCAGATTGTATCATAACACTCCCATATCAAACGAACCCTTTGTTACAAACCCACGAAGCACTTCGCGATATTTGTGTCAAGATTGATCGCATGGTGATATTGCAGTAGAAGTGATTGACTCCTGGTCAGAGTGAATGTGAAATGGATGAAGTGAATATAACAAGGACATACATAGGTTTATATAAGATTACAAAATAAATACAGAATAACCTAGCTAGGCATGTACACTAAATGGTACATTCCCTTATTACATCGAGATTCAACTGTGTGGCGCGGGAAGCCAATTCAAACGTGCTCCTGCCATTTCCCATTCAAATGCTTCTTCCCGCATCGGTCTTCATCTGGCAACTACTTTCATCGCTTCGGCTTTCCTAACTCCTCATCTTCATCATTGTTATTGCTGGCTCCTGTTACGTACATAAATATTATTCACTCATTCATTATCGCAACACCTTTTTTCTGCCTGTCGAACGCACCTTTTATAAAAAGGGTCGCGAAACACCAAAGGCCCTTCGCGCACATGCAAACGATGAGCCCAGCTCTAAGGGCTGGGTTAGGGCTCGTAGTGGGAGGGGATACCCAAATCCTACTCCCCTAAAAGTTTTCCACTGAACCCATACGCCTGAATCATCTCTGCCCTGAAAAACGCCTCAGCGTAAAATCAAACGCGTGAGCTGTGTTGGTTCTTTTTTTTTTGTTTACAAACGTTTTTTACCCTGTATCCTATAGCATGCGATGCAATTTTTTTAACCTTACCCTTGATGAAGATGGTGGAAGAAGGGTCCCCGCTCGCCCTGACGACCCTCTCCTTCCGTCCTCTAGAGGCGACACTTCCGATTTGGTTGGTCGGGCAATGGCCAGCCCAGGGGAAGTTGCGTAGAGAACTCTGCTGAAACTAGCACCTGCCTAACGAACAGGGCCCCATGATTCCGTCTGGCTCGGACGGGATCATTTGGTTCGGCACCAATTTTTGGTCTGACTGCTAAAACCAGATTTAAACCGCCGAGACGGTTCGGATGGATTGGTCTGCCTTTTGAACGGGGGTCGAAAGCCTCTTCTGCTGTGGTGGTCCTTGTATTTCCCTGGCGGGGCTGCTGCAAAGCGCAACCTTGAAACTCGCAGCTCGCGACGAAAAACCTACCCCCTTGTGACTTGGCGGTAGCGAGTGCCAGAACCTCATGTTCGGAGTGCGCGGTACGAATCCAGCAGCGGCCTTAGGCCTTTTTCCCCAACCCCTCGCCGCGCTGCCCGCGCGTGTTCTGGCGCCAATGGACTCGTCGCGCGGCGACATGCTCGCACAGCTGCGACACGTGGCTGCTGTCGAGGCGAGACGGGCGGCAGAACAGGTGAGGAGCTGTTATCGGCGCGCGCCTCTGTTTGCCACACGCGTGTTACTGTACTGACGTGGCACGTGCTGAACACACGGTGCGCAGGTGATTCTTCCCAGAGACTTCACCCTGACCATTCCGCATCCAGACAACTGTTTCCGCCCGTCCCCAATCGACAGCGCCACCCCGTTATCGTCACAACACCCCGTTAAAATCACCATTCGGTTGTTGTCCTTTGGCTACGTGGACACCCGCCCTGCATACCACTCGGCCAGTGAGATTTGGCCACGTGGGTACCATGCAGTGTGGGAGGACCCTTTAGGAGGGCTGTGCCACAGCGAGGTGGTGGAGGGGGGCAGCGACGGCCAGGGGCGAGCGCGGGTTGGGGGGGTTGGGCAGGAGGGCGGTAGTGAGGGGCCGGTGTTCCGAGTTTGGAGGGAGGATGCACGGGAGGAAGGCAGGCAGGCGGGATGGGCGATGGACGGGCAGCAGAGAGCAGTGGGTGGGGGAGAGAGAGAGGGTGAGAGTGAGGGAGCGGAGGGCACAATGGGGGAGGAAGTGCAGGCGCTGCTGTGGGATGGACGGGGCCCTGCGGGCGTGGGGGGGTGGCGGCCAGGGGGTGATTCCTGGGCGGAGGGAGCGCATGGGCGGGAGGTGGATGGGGGGGAAGGGGACGGGGTGATTGGTGGGGAGAGTGTGAGGGGGGTGGAGATGGAGAGAGGAGGGTCGAGCAACGACACACGCTCACAGCTGCTTGGGGGTTCCAGGCCCGAATGCAAGGTTCGGATGGTGTGTGAAGGGCAAACGAGTCAGCAGGCTTGGGAGAGGTTCGGAGGGGAGTGGTGGGAGCAGCTGGGTGCGACATGGATGGGGAGGGCTGGGCAGGGCATGGCGGAGACGAGGGGGGAGAGTGGAGGGACGAGTGGAAGGCAGGCAGGAGGGGAGGCTGAAGATGGAAAGAGTGGGTCTGGTTTGGGCGTGGCGGGTGAGGGGGGCGTGGGGGGCGTACAAGAAAGAGGGCAAGTGGAGGGAGTGGGAGCAAAGTATGTGGGGTGGGAGGAGCAGCGGGTGCGCTCGCTGCTGCTGCTGGACAAGTACGGGCTCTCCCACCCACCCCTGCTCGCCCTCATAGAGGGGCAGAGCGGTGCAGAGCGGTGCACAGGGTACGAGTTCAGGGAGGAGCGGTGGTGGAAGGAGCAGGCGCAGAGGGAGCAGGAGAGGCAGGCGAGGGGGGGCCGTGGGCAGCAGGACGAGCAGCACGAGGGGGAGGGGCAAGGGAGGGCGGGACAAGTGAGGGAGGGGCAAGAGGAGCAGGGGCAAGAGGGGGGGGAGATAAAGGAGGGGTTGGGGATGGCAAGCGGAGGGTTGGTGGGTGAGTTTCAGGCTGGGGCGAGTGAAGGGCGCGAGGGGGGCGAACGGGGGGGTGCAGGGAGGGGTGGTGGGGTTCATGGGGCGGAGAGGTTGGGCAGGTGGGAGGGGGCGGATGGGAGGAGAGGGGGAGCGGCGGTGGGAAAGGGTGTTGATGAGGCGCCGTCAGCAGTGCCCCCTACAGCACTGCTGGGGCTCTCCCGCTGCGACATGCTGCGCCTCATTGAGGTGCGCCCTGCCCCTCACTGCGCCTCATTGAGGTGCGCCCTGCCCCTCACTGCGCCTCATTGAGGTGCGCCCTGCCCCTCACTGCGCCTCATTGAGGTGCGCCCTGCCCCTCACTGCGCCTCATTGAGGTGCGCCCTGCCCCTGACTGCGCCTCATTGAGGTGCGCCCTGCCCCTGACTGCGCCTCATTGAGGTGCGCCCTGCCCCTCACTGCGCCTCATTGAGGTGCGCCATTGAGGTGCGCCCTGCCCTTCACTGCGCCTCATTGAGGTGCGCCCTGCCCCTCACTGCGCCTCATTGAGGTGCGCCCTGCCCCTCACTGCGCCTCATTGAGGTGCGCCCTGCCCCTCACTGCGCCTCATTGAGGTGCGCCCTGCCCCTCACTGCGCCTCATTGAGGTGCGCCCTGCCCCTCACTGCGCCTCATTGAGGTGCGCCCTGCCCCTCACTGCGCCTCATTGAGGTGCGCCCTGCCCCTCACTGCGCCTCATTGAGGTGCGCCCTGCCCCTCACTGCTGCCCTCTCGTCTCTGCTGCCTCTCTTCTGACTTTCATGCACAAGGACTGACTTCGCCCTCTGCCCATGCACCCCTCGCCATCGCCTCGCCCTACCGCCTGCCCGCCCACCCCTGCAGGTGCACCACGCGCTGCACTCCTTCCTGCCCTGCCTTCCGCCGCCCTCCCCCCACTCCCCCCTCCTGCCCGCGCTCTCCCTCCCTGCCCTCGCCCACCACCTCGCCTACCCCTCCACCAATCCGCCGGCATCAGCTGGTGCAGCGAGGGGCGGCGGCGCCGTGAGTGGTGGCTCGCATGGCGCGGGGCCCGTGGTGGCGCGCATGCACGTGGCGCTGTTGCACGTGCTGCTGCCCGCCGCCATGCCTGCTGTTGCTGCACGCGAGGTGATTGGTGGGCGGGAGAGGGATGGAAGAGGGAAGGAGAGGGAAACTGCCGAAACTGAAGTGAGAGTTGGTGTTGTGAGTGGTGGTCATGGTGCTACCTCTGCTGCTGCTGCTGCTGCATTGGGTTCTCCTGCTTCCCTCACAGGCGAGCAAACGGGCTTGAGTGCTGCTGCTGTGAACGATGCCAGCTCCGACCTGCTGATGTGTCCCATTGATGAGCTGACGTGGCCTGAGGTGGCATGCAGGGTGCTTGCCGTCAGCATTCCATTGCTGCAAGAAGAGAGGAAGGAGCGGAGGGCGCGTGGAGGGAATGAAAGAGACGGGAGGAGAGGGGCGAGGGGAGGGGGAAGGCGAAGGAGGGGGGCAAGCAAAAGGGGCGAAGCGGATGGGGAGGAGCAGGTCGCCCGAGGCAGCAGGGAGGATGGCAGGCAAGGGGTGCGGGGAGCGGGGGGGCAGGGAGGGGTGTGCGGGCGCAGCCCGTGGGAGCAGGGGCGGCTGACGCGGTGCATCGCTGGCGATGGCGGGCCGCTGCTGGGCCACTGGCTCGGCACCCCTGGTGCCATGCACGACGCTGCTGTGAGTGCCATGCACGACGCTGCTGTGAGTGCGCTCCACTGTGTCAGTGCTTTTTTTAAAATAGAAGCAGGGTGGCTTGTCAGGTCAGGTGTAAGCAGGTGAACACCTTTTGTTGCATGTTGTAATAGAGGAGATGTATGGTCATTCGATTCGGTCGCTCACTCACACCACACCATCGACACTGCCATAGCATGTTTGCCAACCGCCTTGTATCGTTGTAGATTGATTGACCAACATAACTCAGATTCCCGAATATGACCGTGTATGTGCCCGTGTGGCGCGTGGCAGGCTCTTGCGGCAGCGGAGAGGCAGCTTGCGCTGGTGGCCGCCTCCCAGCTGCATGCCACCGCCTCCACCACGGCTGCCGCTGCTGCTGCTGCGCCTGCAGGCATGGCCACAGGAGGGCTGGGCAGTGCCGCAGGCAAGGGCAAGGCGGGCAGGGGGGCTGCTGCAGCAGCGTCAGGGTCAGCAGGTGAAGAGCAGGGAGGGAAGGACGCAGCATCAGTGGCGGCAGACGAGAGGGTCAGCAGTGCGAGCCATGCTGCTGCGAGTGCCCCTGTGCCCCAGGCGGCGGGGGTGAAGGAGGAAGCGAGCAGTGAAGGTGTGAGTGCTGCTCTCAGTGATGCTGCTGGGGGACTCCCTGCTGCCGCAACTGCTGTGGCGCCTGGCCTGGGGGCACGCAGTGCGGCAGTGGCAGCAGCTGGTGAGACATGGCTGTGCTGCGGTGCGGTGCGGGCGGGCATGGGTGCTGTGGATGCTGCTGTGCGTGGGGTGTGTGCATGGGGATGGATGCATGGAATTGTTAATGTGTTGCCTGCTGGGCGCCCATCTCTTCACTGACTCCTCACTGCTGCCTCTCTCACCCTAACCATGCTTCTGCTGGCTTGCTCCATGCCATGTGCCCCATGTGCCCCATGTGCCCCATGTGCCCCATGTGCCCCATGTGCCCCATGTGCCTCATGTGCCCCATGTGCCCCATGTGCCCCATGTGCCTCATGTGCCCCATGTGCCCCATGTGCCCCATGTGCCCCATGTGCCCCATGTGCCCCATGTGCCCCATGTGCCTCATGTGCCCCATGTGCCCCATGTGCCCCATGTGCCCCATGTGCCCCATGTGCCCCATGCACGCATCCCGGGCAGGTCGTGCATCGCCCCCCCAGTGGGTGGTGCTGCTGGAGCCCATCCGCAAGATGCAGACCAACGTCGGCGCGCGCATCCGCAACTGCATCCGCGCCGCCCTCGACTGCCACGTGGCGCCGCCCGATTGGGCGTTGGAGCGGCTGCAGTGGGCGATCAGCAAGGAGGTGTACAAGGGGAACGCGTCAGGCCCCACTAAGGTGAGTTAAAGCCCTCTAAGGTGAGTTAAAGACGACTAAGGTGAGTTAAAGACGACTAAGGTGAGTTAAAGACGACTAAGGTGAGTTAAAGCCCTCTAAGGTGAGTTAAAGCCCGCTAAGGTAGCCCACTAAGGTGAGTTAACGCCCACTAAGGTGGTCACTGTGAATCACACATTTCAGTGTGCTTTTGATCTCTATCCGTCTTCACATTTATTCATGTTTTGCCATTTGGTCCGGCATTTCTCGTCTCCTGCATCCACGTCTCTTGTGTTTGCTCCCAATCCCATCCCCTCCATCCCCCGTATGCCCCCTCTATGGCACCCATCGCCCCCGTCCCATGCACCGTGTGGACGCAGCGAGCGGCCATCGAGGTGATGGACAAGTTCCTCGCCCACCACCCCTGCGCTGCCGCTGCTTCTCCCTCTCCCTCTGCACGTGCCGCTGCTGCTGGATGGAGTGGCGCCAAGGTGGAGACGGATGCGGGTGGAGCGGCGAGGGGCGAGGGTGCTGCTGCCAGCAAGGGCACGGCGAGAGAGAAGGATGCTGGGACGGCTGTGGGGAGCGGTGGGGCAGAGAGTGGCAGTGATGGGGGCACCGGAGCACATGGCAAGTGGCAGAAAGGCGGGGGAGCAGGCGGGAGTGAGCCCTGTGCTGGGGATGCCGCCGCTGCTGCAGCATTAGCACCAGACTCGGGGGCAGGCACCTCAGCAGAAGTGGCAGGGCGCAGCGGCCTGGCGGGGGGAGCAGCAGCGGCGGCAGCGGGGCCTTTGCTGTCCCCGCTGATGCAGCAGTGCCGCGCGGTGCTGTGGCAGCTGGCCCTGGCGGACCACCTGCGCGCCTTCACCTACTTCTGGGGCGTGGGGCCTGTGGGACCCGTGGGGGAGGGCGGGCACGATGCCGCACAGGATGCAGGAGGGGCATGGGCAGGGGGGCCAGGGGGGGCAGCGGAGGGCAGAGGGAGAGTGGGCAGCAGTGCAGGGCACGTGGGCAGCGAGGCGGGGGCTGGGAAGGGCGTGAGAGGGGTGGTGGGGAAGGGGTTGGCAGCGGCACTGCACGAGCAGGGGGGGGTGCGGGTGGCGCTCACAGGGGCGGCGAGCATGAGAGGGAGCGACGGCACATCAGGGGCGGCCCTGGCAGCGGCGACAGTGGGGGGTGCGGTGGGGGGGGAAGCGCGGAGGGCGGGGTGGGCGCCGCGGCATGCAGTGGCGCGGCCCATTGACCTGCGCACCATCGATGCACGCGTTGTCATGGGCGCCTATGGCCACTCCGCTGAGGGCTTCATTGCTGACGTCAAACAGGTGAGGCCTTTATTGCTGACGTCACACAGGTGCTTCATTGCTGACGTCAAACAGGTGCGCGTGCCGTGCCGGGCAGATTGCGTGGCATAGTGATGCTGCTGATGGTCAATCAGGTTGAGAGGGGGTTGGCCAAATTATTTTGCGCATCGATAGTGATGGGACTAATCGCTTCAACTGTAAAGTGTTTCAGTTTGTCAAACTTGGGCTGGCTGGGAGGGTTGAGAAGGTTGGGAGGATTGAGGGGGCTGAGAGGGTGTGTGGTAAGGTCAGCTGTGAGTCGACCCTTGCATTCACATCCCTTGCATTCACATCCCTTGCATTCACATCCCTTGCATTCACATCCCTTGCATTCACATCCATTGCATTCACATCCCTTGCATTCACATCCCTTGCATTCACATCCCTTGTAGATTCTCGTCAGGAGTCACCCTGTTATTTAGTAGAGACAAGTGAAGACGTCACTCTCATGAGTCAAAGTGGCGCGAGTACATTTGAGGAGTTCAAGCTGGCAGGCAAGATGAAATGAGAGCAGAGTTGTTGGCCGAGGGGAAATACACGGAGTCACCATTTCGCTACCATTCCTCTTGGTTCCTCCAAATCCCCTGCGTGCGCTGCGCTGCCATGTCCCCCGCGCCAGATGTGGATGAACGTGCGGGTGGGGTACAGGAAGCCGCACCCCATCTTCCTCTCCATGCTGCACCTCGCGCCGCTCTTCGACAAACTGCTCGCCTCCCAGGTGGGCTGCTCGCCTCCCAGGTGGGCGTCCCCTGTCATATGGGTGGGGCGGGGGGGAGAGCGGGTTGGTGCGATGAGATGCCATGTGGGGTGCTCCCATCCCATCACCTGTTCGTCCATTCCCTTGCCAGCTGTGCTTCGTCTCTTATCACACCACCATATCGCATCGTCACTTGTGTCCCCTGCTTTCTTCTCAACTCTGTTTCTCCCTTCGTCTTTCTTTCCCTTTTAGCGCTAGCCATTCTCTCCTTTAATGCTCCTACAACCCCCAATCACTCCGCACCTCTTCACACTCCTCCCCTTGCCGACCTCCCCGGCTCTGCCCGGCACCCAACGCCTCAACGTCTCCCCCTCAGGGCCTGTTCGCCACGGCTCCAATGCTGCCCCCGCGCCTGCCAACGCCCACACCAGACAGGGCCGGGGGAAGGGGGCGGGAGGATGGGGCAGGGGGGGAGGGAGCAGAGGGGGTGCCCCCGTGGGAGAGGGAGGGGTGCTTGGTGTGCGGGGTGGACGTGGACGAGCGCGCCGTGCTGCTGTGCGACGGCTGCGACCGCGAGTTCCACCTCTACTGCCTCCTGCCGCCCCTCGCCCGCGTGCCCCGTGGCCACTGGTACTGCCCGCTGTGCGTGCAGGGGGGCTGGGGGCGGGAGACGAGCTGGGGAGACGGCGAGGAGGAGGAGGAGCAGGAGGAGGGGGGGGGAGAGGAGGACGAGGAGGAAAGAGAGGAAGGAGAAGGAGAGGAGGAGGCAAGGGGCATTGCGGTAGGGGAGGAGGGAGTGGGGAGAGAGGGGGTGTTGGGGTGTGGGGAGGAGGGGGAGTGGGAGGAGAGTGCAATGTATGTGTTGTCGAGGCACCTCAGGAGCTGCGATTACCACCGCATGACCACCAGCCTTGTGAGTGCTGTGGCCTTGTGAGTGCTGTGGCCTTGTGAGTGCTATGGCCTGGTGTGGCGGGTCATATGTGCGTGTTGCCATGTGGATTGGTGGTTGACTTGGCTGTGCGAAGCGCTGGGGCTTCTCACGTATCGTAGTGTTCCTTCCTACAGTGTGCACGGTACAAAGTGCAAGTGTGTCACGGAGCCTCATGATTTTTATTAAATCTAAGTCTTTTACTTAGCCTGATGTTCAATACCAAGAGTATGTGCGTTTACTTCACTTATGTTTGGCATTAAGTGTTAGATTTATACTTTTGTTGTAACCTGCATCCATGCTATAAAGTTCTGGTAGAGTAGAGATAAGCACCCAACCATAGGTTGGGTGTATATCTAGGGTTAACCCTAAGTTGGGGTTGAGATCCAACCTTCGACCCAAATTATTGGTCCCCAAAGGTTGGGTTGGGAACATTATTGGTCCCCCTCCAATAATGTTGACCCAACTTAAGAGTGGTCAACATTATTGAAGGCCCTCCGAAAGTTCCCAACCCAACTTATTGGAGGGACTCCAATAATGTTGGCTACCTCCCCCTTTCTCTTCTTCAACTATGTAAACCCTAGCTTCTCTTAGTTCAATCATTTCATTCTCTTCAAACTTTGTTTCCCACAATAAGTATTAGTGCGTTACATTGTGTTATGCTCAGAACTGAAGGTTAGTGAGTTACTTAGCCTTATGTTTGGTACCAAGTATAAGTGCGTTATTTAGCCTTATGTCGGTTGCGTTCTTTTATGAACTCCGAATCGCTTGGAGGTATGATTCTGTCTCACCGGTTCTGTCTGCTTATGGCTTCCTTTGACCGCCTTTGAATCCCGTTGACCGCCTTTGACCCTGTTTGACCGCAGAGGATCTTGCTTCTCCACACCCTTTGTCGCCTGCTGGTCCGCACGCCAGCCTACCAGAGCTTCTGCCACAACCGGCAGCAGCAGCACGGGCATGAGCAGCAGGAGGAGGAGCATGAGGCGCGCGTGTCAGCGGCGTGGTGTGGCCGGGCCATGGCATGGGGCTCCACTCGCCACCGCTCTCCGCGGCCCACACAGCCTTGGCGCCCTCAGGGGCCCCCATGGCAGCAGCAGCTGCTCCTGCTGATGGCTCGTGGGAGGGACTCCCATGCGCATGGCGCGGATGGGGGGCATGCGGATGGGGGTGAGGACGAGGATGGGGATGGAGACGAGAGTGAGAAGAGTGTGGAGGAGGTGCGAGGGAGTGAGAAGAAGAGGGGTGGAAGGACAAAGCGGTTGACAGGGGGCAAGAGAAGGAGGACTCAGAAGCATGCTGTGGACGGGTTTGGAGCGGTGGAGAGGGGTGAGCGGGAAGAGGAAGAAGGCGAGGAGGAGGTGGAGGGAGAGAAGGAGCAGGGCGAGGGAGGGATGGAAGAGGAGGAGGAGGAGGAGGAGGAGGAGGAGGAGGAGGAGGAGGAGGAGGAGGAGGAGGAGGAGGAGGAGGAGGAGGAGGAGGAGGAGGAGGAGGAGGAGGAGGAGGAGGAGGAGGACACAAAGGAAGAGGGCAGGGAGGGGAGTGATGGGGGAAGTGGGGAGCGGCAGGAGGTGGTGGAAGACGGGGGGGCAGGGCGCATGCAGCTGTGGTGCTCCAGTGCCGCGCTGCCCAGGCTGAGAGGCGTGCACGGAGAGAAGCAGGAGGCTGGTGGAGCCGTGGTGTTCGTCGGATCGGATGAGATCGGACGGCTGTTCTTTGTGGTTACCATGAGCAGTGATGGAAGCACAGGTCATGATTTTGCAGCTGGCAACGATGCTGCAGCAGGGGGAGCAGCAGGGGGATTAGCAGCAGGGGGGGCAGCAGCAGCGGTGCTGGTGTGGTGGCCTCGTGGGGCACAGGCCTCCACCCTCACGCAACCCCCCCTCCCCCACCCCCCATCATCTGCCTCACGTGGCCACACCCACCCCCCTGACCGCCTGTGGCCGGCATGCAGGGGGGCGTGCCGCCATGCAGCTTGCTCGCGCCGTGTGGCCCTCGGGGCCGCGCTGCTCGCCTCTGCCACCGCTGCTGCTCGTGGGGGCCTTGGAGCTTGTGAGGGGACTGGAGGCGAGGGCGAGCAGGGAGAGTGGCGGTGGTATGTGTGGCGGGGTGATGCTGCTCTGAACAGGGGTGGTGCCACGGGGACAGGAAGGGACACGCTTGGTCAAACAATGGTTGCCTCTGCCTCTGCTGCTGCTGACGTGGATGCTCTTCTTTCCTCAATTGCTACAGCAGCAACACCTGGCAGCCAGCTGGCAAGGGTTCACAGCCGGGTGCAGCAGGTGCTACATGAGCAGTGTGGTGGGCGTGTGTCTGAAGCAGCATGTGAGCAGCAGGCAGGCAGGCCCGTGCATGCACAAGAGCCGCCCCCTGCACACCCCGCACATTCCTCCATCTCCCCCTCATTCGTGCCACCCCTGCACTCGCTCCCACTCCACGCTACTGAACCGCCCACCAAGCTGCCCACTGAGCCAACTTCCGAGCCGCTTACCCAGCCATGCACCCCAAGCCTCCGCACCCTGCGAGCTATGGCCTTTCTGGAAGAGCGGTTCGGAGCGGTGGAGATGGATGGTACCGTGGCATGGGGAGGGGAGGGGGACGGGGGGAAGGAGGGAGGCAAAGGAGAGAAGGGGAAGGGCAGAGGAGGGGAGAAAGGGGCGGCACACAAAGGCGCTCTGGGGGCGACAGGTGGCGGTGCAGGGAGGAGGGGCGTGTGGCGGTGTGAGTGCTTGGAGCTGCAGTGGGCTGCCAGGTGGCACTGCGTGATTTGCCACGAGACTTACAGCGCCAAGGCGGAGTTTGAAGGGCACAAGCGGGCGTGCCGGCTGAGGGCTAAGGGGGGTAGGGGCGGCGGTCGGGGTGGGGGGAGGGGAGGGAAGGGAGGGGACGCGAGGGGGGAGCGAGAGGGAGAGCGGAAGGGAGGGCGGGCAGTGCCTGGGGTGGACGGCAGGGTGCAGATGAGTGGGGATGGGGCGATGGGAGAGGGAGCGAGGGAGGGAGGGCTGTGGCACCAGGGTGTGGGGGAGGAGGAGGAAGATGCAGGGACTGTGTTCGACCCCCTCACCACTGCTGACCTACCACCTGCTGACGTGGCAGCTCGTGCAGCTGCAAGGCATCAGTGTGATGCTGATGCCATCTTTCCACCTGGCACACTCAAGCTGTGCGACGTCATGGCCACTCCACCAGCTGCCACGTCACCAGTTGACTCGTCACCAGCTGCCACGTCAACAGCTGCCACGTCACCAGCTGCCACGTCACCATCCGCAGAAGAAGCAGTAGCCCCAAGTATGGCAGGTGGCGGTTCTGTGGGGCAGGCACTGGTGGGCAGGAGCATGGCGACGCTGGGCGATCGCATGAGGGTGTGGAGCGGTGAACAGGGCGACGAGGCTTGCAGCACAGTGCAGCAGGGGCACGTGGTGGCGCAGAAGAGGCAGCGAGGGGGCGAGAAGGGCGGCGAGGAGGAGCTGCTGAGCGGCTGCCAGCTGCTGGAGAGGCGTGTGGGAAAGCGGCGGAAGAATGGCGAGGGGCGAGGCAGGGGGGAGAGTGGAATGGCGAGAGGAGGGGAGACTATGGAAGGTGGAGAGGGAGCGAGGAGGGGAGAGCACGCAGCAGTGGTGGGAGAAGGCACGGGAGGTGTGGTAGTGGCAGATGGCAGTGGTGCTGCTGCCTCTGCCGCACTGGCTTCGCCTGCACTCATACACTCCGTGGCGGCTGCTGCTTTGCCTGCCTCTGCTGGTGCTCCTGGTTTGAGCGGTTGTGGCACTGCCACTGCCTCTCATGCTGTTGCTGCCATTGCCATGACCATGGGTGGCGATATGGAGAAGGGCGGTGATGCGGGCAGTGCGGGCAGTCAGGGCAGTGAGGGCAGTGGGGGTGCATGGCAGCGGAGTGGCAGCAGTGGCGTGGAGGAGTGGGACGCACTGTGTGGCGGGCTGCCGCCCCTACAGCACCTCCCACAGGACGCCGCGCCTCCACCTGCCACTGCTCATGCACCTGCCACTGCTCCAGCCACTCTTGCTGTGCCGCCTGGCACTGACTTGGATGAGTGGGCTGCAGGCATGGAGGGGACAGGCATGGAGGGGACAGGCATGGATGGTGTGAGTGTGGATGGCTGGGGCATGCAGAGCAGCACAGCTGGTGTCCTGTCGCGGGATGTGACCTCCCCCGTGCCTCAACCCCCCTCCGCCAGCCCCTGGGACCACGTGCCACTGCCACCCGACGCCACCACCACACCTGACGTCAGCAGCAGCAGCTCCCGCGCCCTCAGCACCTCTCCACCGCACCCAACCGCTCTCCTCATCCGCCACATCTCTTTCAGCCAGCAGCCACCCGCCATCCTCGCGGCCGCCCCGCACCTCCGTTCCCCTCCTACGCCTGCTCCCCTCCCACTGCCCTCCCCGCCCTCGCCTGCCTTGGCTGCTCCAGGTCATCTGGGAGGGGGTATGGGTGGGGCTGGAGGTGTGGCTGAGAGTGATGGCAAGGAGGGGAGCGAGGGCGGGGCGGGGGGCGAGTGGGAAGAGGCGGTGGTGGGGGTGCTGAAGCGCGAGCTGCTGGACGTGGAGGCGGCGGCGGGCGTGGAGGCCATGGACGGCCCGCGAGGGCGGTCGGGCAGGCGCCGTGCATGGCGGGCCATGGTCAAGCGCGCTGATGCCCAGCACTGGCGCCACGTGAGCCACTGCCCCTGCTGCCCCTCTTCTTGTGCTATTCCTCATGCCCCGGCTGTCACTGCTCCCCTGCTGTCCCTACCACTCTTGCTTCCCTTGGTTTATTCCACCTACCCACACATACCATCACTCACTCTTCCCTCATTCACACTTTTTGCATTTCCGATTCTTCAATCCGAATTACTTTCCTCCAGTTTCTTATGCCCCCCAGTCCCTTGCACCACTTCCCACACATCCACCTCATACCGTCCCCCACCCCTCCGCCCCTCGCCTGCCCCAGCTGCTGCACGCCTGCATCCTGCTTGAGCTCGCCATCCGGGCCGACCGCCTCGCCCTCGGCTGGCGCTTCTGGTGCTCCCCGGCTGCCGCCGCCTCCTGCGCCACGCTCTCAGCGCTGGCCCTGCGCGTGCGCGCCCTGGACCGCGCCATAATCTACTTCAAGGGGCCCCTCCGCCCTGCCGCTGCCGCACGCGCCCCGCCCCGCGCCCACGGCGGTGGGGGCGAGGCCAAGGGAGCAGCAGGGGGGGTGGTGGTGGAGAGCAAGAGGGGTGCGGCGGTAGCGGCGGCGGTGGTGGCGGAGGAGGAGGCGGATGTGGTGGAGGTGTCAGCTGCGAGTGGCGAGGGGGAGGGCGGCAGTGGCAGTGTGGAGTTTGACATGTTTGACGAGGAGACGGGCGCCGCGGCGGAGGTTCTTGAGATGCTCAAGGCGCTGGGCTGATGGACTTGCCAGTGGGACTTCGTCTGGGTTGACAGTAGACATGGTGTTACACATCATGTTACACATGGTGTTACACATCATGTTACACATGGTGCTACACATGGTGTTATACATGGCTAGGTTCGCCCCCCCTTTGGGGAAACATGCAGTTTGGCCTTGTTCTGTAGGCGGACTGGCCTCCGCACAAAATGTCCGGGACAGTCTTTCCTAGAAAATTCGTGTCGCATCCAATCAAAATTGTCGCCCTCGATGTTGCTACGAAGCCCCGCATATCCAATGCATTTCCGCAATCCAGCGCCCCGCATAACTTGTGCGCTGGCTGATGCTTGCCCTGGAGGTTGAATCAGCCCCGCACTAGTTGTGCGACCGTTTGCGAGGCGAAGCAATTGCTTCGAACCAGCACACGGCTAAATTTGTGCGGGTCAATAGTGGTGTTCTGCAGGCAGAAGCGTCAAATTTGGCGCAAGTAGGTTTGGCATCCACGCGCTTATCACCAAACCTAGATAAGCAATTGATCAGTTATCAATCTTACTGTGCTAAACCAGATGCTGGAAATTGTCCGCCTACAGAACAAGGCTTTTGTAATGTTTCTTGTCCATTCCTAGTACTAGCATGCTCGGCTGAGCTTGATTGTACCTTTCCATTTGGAATGAGGCGACGACAACAAAGCCAAGGCAAGTTCTCTACATCCACAATCAACCGAGCCATGATGAAGCAGATTCAGTAGTCCACAAAACCCGACCGACCAGCATGGTATGCAAGCAAGCTGCATCTAAGAAAGGAGACACCACGGCACTACAACATAACAAGCAGCGAACGGAGTTTCGCAAGGCCATGCGCCGTCAACCAGGCCTCAGTGTCACGGTAGTCACTCCGGCAGCTGCTTAACAACAGATACCGCAGAGCTGCCAGCTGCGTGAAATCCTCTGGGAAACCCTGCAGCTCCCGACAATGTTTTAAAGAAAGGCTCCTCAGCCTGGTGAGGTGTGCGAAGCCAGCAGGAAGCACGGAGATGGATGTGGACGACGAATCCAAATCATGCAGGCAGGCGAGGCGCGTTATACAAGCCGGCAGCTGCTGCAGCTCTCGGCATTCTGACAGATCAAGCGTGCGCAGCCGGGACAGCGCACCAATGGTTTCAGGGAGAGTTTTCAGTCTGGGTGCGTGGATCTCCAAGGCTGTGAGTTGCCAGAGCTCCCCAATGCTGCCTGGCACCTCCTCCAGCGATGACATCTGCTCCAGCCTCAGCTGCCGCAGCTGCGGAAACGCTGCCCCAATGCTTCCAGGGAGCCTCCTGATGCCATGTCCCGAGATGGTCAGGCGGCGCAGGGAAGGGAGGAAGGTCAAGGGGAAGGGGAGCTCGACAGCAGCGTTGTCCAGGTGCAGGGCCAAGCGGTGCAGGCGAGACAGACCGCTGCTCCAACAATGACCTTCGGTGCTAAGGCTTCTCAGTGAGCTTTCACCAGGTGCGCCAACCTGCAGGTCGCTGGCAGGGCAGCTTGCTGCTCCTGGCCCTTGCCCTCCCCTACCGATATGCAGCTCCAGCTCCCTCAGCTGGGATAGCACAGACACGTCTGCCAGTGCAGTGAGCTGGTTCCCGGACCATGGAATGCTTAGGAGCTCAAGAGAGCGCGGCAGAATGGCAGGAGGGTGACTCAGCCCTTCACAGTGTGTCAGCTGCTGCTGCTTCAGCCTCTTGAGGCTATCCAGCCTTCCGGGCACCCATGAAAGCCGCGAGCAAAGAACAACTGCCAGGCGTTCCAGACGGATCAGACGAGTGATGGACTCTGGAAGGCGGCTGATGGGGCATACCAGTATGCTCAGATCTGTCAGGTTACTGAGCGCCCCCAACGCATCTGGAAGCTCAGGTGTTGCGCACTCGTGCAGTTGTAGGCTGGTCAATGCAGTCAACGCGGTGAACGAGGCTGGGAGGTGCTGCTGGCAACGGGAGCCGATGAAGCGAAGAGTGGCAAGGCTGGTGAGGTGCCCAATGTCGTCTGGAAGTGTGACATTCCGAAGGCGCTCGATGCAGAGAGCCTTGAGTGCGGGGAGGCGGCACAAACCAGGTGGAAGCTCGCGAAGCTGGTAGCAGTTGTCAAGGACTAGAGCGTTGAGGGACGTCAGTTGGGAGAGGGAACTAGGGAGGACAACAAGAGGCAGCGACTTGAGCACGAGGGTTTTGAGAGCCGGCAGATCACTCAAGCTGTCAGGAAGCCCAAACAGAAACTTTGCATCGGAAATAACCAATTCTTCCAAACGGGTCAGAGAGGGCAAGCTTTCAGGCAGTTCCGTGAAGCGATGGCAGCCACGGATGACTAGCTTGCGGAGGGAGGGGAGCAGATCTCCAATGTCGTTGGGAGGGCCTTCAAGCTCCTGGTAGTCTGTGAGAAGCAGCTGCTGCAGGCGAGCGCATGGGGTTGATCTTGGTGGAAACATTGAGTCGAATGGAGGGGTGCAATTCGTGAATCTAAGCGTTTCCAGGCAAGACAGCAGTGCGATGCTGAAAGGAGCTGCGGGCTGGTCGGTACGATGCAGAGCGAAGATAGAAAGGTGCGCGATGGGGAGGTCAAGCAGGCTGGATAGGTGCTGCAGATGGAATGCCGGGAAGGCGAGATGCAGGTTGGTGAGGGACGAAAGGCTCCTGAACCCCGGATTTTCTAGGGTTGCCGGGGTGGTGAGAGCGAGAGTGTGCAGGTGCTTGAGTTGAAAGAAGGACGGCGGGAAGTCAGCGCCGTCGCGGAGGCAGTAGAGCGAGAGCTGCTGCAGCTGAGAGCAGCGGCGGAAGAAGAGATCCATCCCGGCGTCTGTGATTGGATGCTCGTCGCTCAATCCCGGAATCCGCGGCGTTATCTTCCCTCCCACGTGGAGAATGGTCAGCTTGGGACATGACGAGGCGAGGTGAGCGAAGAACGCGTCGTCGAGGTTTTCCACGCTGAGGTCGCACAGATGGAGATGCGTGAGGCTTGGGAAGCGCGCGACGGCGACCGTTAGGTCTTGGAGGGACGCGACGAGGTTCTCTCTGAGAAGAAGCTCGGCGACGTGAGGGTGCAGATGGTGTTGCGCGACCCGCCGCCAGCGACGGCAGACAGACGCGAGGAGGAAATTGATGGGGGCAGATTCAGTTGCCAGAGGAGTCGGTACCGGTGTACTGTATTTCAATTCAAGTATGTCGCGATTTCCACGGATGTCCGTCGCCTCTAAGTCCAAGGAGCCCCACAAAGCCTCGCTGGTTTCAGGTTTGCGGAAATGAGGCTTAGTGGATCGCCGTAAAACTTTCATTAGAAGGTCGTCCGAGAGACTGTCGATGTGTGTGCGAGACTCCATAGCTGAAATGGCTAAGTATGCAGGGAACGGTAAAATCACTAGAATATAGCTCGAAGTTCAAGTACCCGAACGTTCCAATCCAAAACTCCAGCGACTACTCATGGCTAGTCTGGCAAATGTCTAAGCTCGTCTGGGATGGGGTGGCTGGCAAAGCGAGAAACGCGAATCGCTGGCGAAGCGGTGACGAAACTGTTTGCGAGGTTTGTGGGGTAGGCGTAACTCATCCTGCTCTGCCCACCTCGTCAGGCTCCAGCTCGTTTTGGCGATCGATCCTGCGGAGGATTAAAGTTTCTGAAAGTTGTGGATGCAATACACATGAGGACGCGGCACCTGTTATCATTTTGCCAGGATCGATCGTGGGAGGGGATAGATGTGCCGCTTGTACAGTGTATTGGCGGAGAGAATTGCTCCAAACCCTTGTTTAGAGATTCAGCGTTGCCCACGTGGCCACCATTTGCTAGCGTGGTTCTCAAATTAAGTGATAATTGCTCGAGTGGCCTTGCCAGGGGATTCCCACTGGTTTTTTTTAACCCTTCACATTACCCTACACGGGTTTCTATCCCCGAAACTTCTGTACTGGTTACTGCACGATCTTCAGTATCCAAAATCTATGTTCGTGACCCTATATGACCGCGCCTGATTGGACGCGCAATTCAAAAAAAGGCACCGCGCATATAATTGACCAATCATGCACGGTCATTAAGGGCATTGCAGTTTATAACTGCGGTAATATATGATCGGGCATTAAAATATGATGCGCGCGACCATTAATGGTTGTGCAGGATTGGTCGATTATATGAGCGTCCAATCAGGCGCGGTCATATAGGGTCACGAACATAAATTTCGGATATAAAAGATCGCGCAATAACCAATACAGAAGTTTCGAGGATAGATACCCCTGAAGGGCAATGTTCATTCTAAAAAAAAAACGTTGAGAATCCACACGCGAGGCCACTCGAGCAATTATCACTGAATTTGAGAGCCACTCGAGCAAATGGTAGCCACGTGTGCAACAACGAATCCCCAAACAAGGGTTTGGAGCAAATCTCTCGTATTGGCGACATCGCCAATGCCTGGTATCCGTCTTTCGCTGAACGTCGAGAATGTACAGTAAACGGGTACCCAAATTGGTGGCACCTGCAGCTCGCACGATCGATGTACCGTGGTGCATGCGTTAGGGTTGGCGGGAGAGCATATCGCGCCACGAGTGACAGCCTCGATCGATCGGCGTCGCCCACGGTCGCAGACCAAAAATTCTTGAGTCGCTGCGAATGGAATTGCTGGACGACCATCCACGCTCTGCCCTGATTGGCTGCGCGTTTAAGTGTAATGGCAGCTCCAACCTGCCCGAGCCTGCAATTTTGACCTTGGCACCGATAGCTCGATGTGTCTACCCTACTGCAAATTTGCAGTGTGGGCACATCGGTGTGCTGATTGATATGCCAGGATCGATGTGAGGCCACGATCCTTGTAAAATGAAAACAGGTGACGCGTCCTGAGGGCACATTCCTACCTCGTGTCAGACACTAAGTGGAGGTTTGGATGGAGGTTCGGAAGACCCGAAGTGGTCCACTTCGGGTCTTAACATTGATTTGCCAGAGTTCCAGGTCACTTCGGGTCTTCCTCAACCACACTTCATGTCTAACCTCATGTCTGAGGGTACATTCTTGCCTCGT